AAAAAGGTAGCGACTGGTTCAGATATTTCTGATTCAGAAACTTTTTTCCACACATTGAGGAACTCGAGCAAGGTCCGTCTGTACTTGGTGACTGATAATGACATTGAAAATGTCGAAAAAACTGTACCAAAAAATGTAGTACCACTCCAGGGTACTATGCAGGTTCATCAAGTTTTCACTGATACTCCAGGTGAATTAAAATATAGAGATCTAAGTTGTTTCTGTCAAAGAGGGTTTTGCTTGTGCTTGGATCCAAAAACCTATCGGCCAGTCCCTACTCCCGTCGTTGGCAAAATCAGCAACTCTACAGAAAAGAGTTATGCAGATGGATTGAACAACAAATAACTACTAGCCGATATATCCAATGTCGCTACCGAATCTAGACGAAGTTACTACAGCATGGTTTACTCCCCATCTTCTAGCTCTGACGAAGAGGTTCTTGCAAACTTGGACCAACCATCTGTGTCTAACGTGAAAAAAAAAACAGCTAATCGATAAGGAAAACGTTCATCCATCGAAGATATCAGATGGTGTTTACGTTTTAGTTAAAGTGTCTTCCGTTAAAGACAAACATTATACTTACCTGGGAGTGGCTAAAAGTACTGTTGATGAAGAGGGAGACGTCAAGGTCATGTTTTATAAGACTTTAGATTGTACTGCTAAAAATTTTAAAGCAGTCGAGACTGATATATCTTACGAACCTTATCACAATATCTTGCAAATCGTTCCTAATCCTAAAATGGTCATGAAAGGTAAACGAGCATTCTTCGAGTTTGACGAACCATTGAACGTTTTTGAAAAATAAAACTTATGTAGGTTTGCCTAATAGTTTTTAAGATGTTGAATTATTTTTGTTACTTTATGGTTGTGCAAATAATTCGAAGTATATACTGTACGATAATGTTATTTTATATTGCGTTATGACCTCGGAAGTTCATTTTTTAGTTTATTTTTGAGCCTACTAGATCTACTTTATGAAGGCATACAGTGATGTTAGTATGATACCACTTTGTTACTGTGGTTACCACTGCGTTACCATTTTGTCCCCAGTTTTGAACAGCATTAAGAATAATGTTTGCGTTTCTTGTAAGTGAAAATTGTCTTGATTCCATATGTACCTGTTTTTCACCAAAAGTCCAAGCTTATCTCGCTATTTTGGTTTAGTATACGCTTTTTGCTGTTGTTATTTTATATAAGTTTATGTCCTTAAATACGACATTGGTAACGTAGTTATCTTAACTATAACAAATATTTCTTTGAACTGATCAGTTCTGTGATATTACTTAATGGGCGCCAGAGTAGCGAGCTCAGCAGCGATGTTTCGAAAATAAAATTTCGTTTCGTAGAAAAGTGTTGTTTGACTTCACGACCACTTCCTACATAAACTGCCAAAATCATTCTAGTCTCATTGAAAACTTCGCTGCAAATGTAACCATAGCATGGAACAAACTATCACCATGATGTAGCTGCCATAAATTATAAGAAAATATCATATTGATTTTCCCAGTTTTTTTCCTAAACTACATCTGGAATTAGGCATCGAAAAGTATTTTGGCCCAATTATCAATTATAAATTATCAATTATCAATTATTAGCTTGCAGAGAAAGTGGTAGCTGACCAACTTCGTGACCATCTAGGAGTAAATAAAGCCTCCCCGATACCCAGTCGGGATTCAGAAAGCTACACAACACATACACAGCGCTTATAAAAGTAACTAGCGATATAGTCAAGTTCATGGATGATGGTATGGTGCCCATATTGGTGATGTTGGATTACAGTAAGGCATTTGACATGGTCAACCATGAAGTATTATGTAAAAAGCTATGATATTATGGTTTGTCTAGTAATGCCTGACTGTGTTTCAACAACTACCTGGCTGGCAGGTCCCAGTGCACAAAGATATTTAACAAAATGTCCACTTTACAAGATATAATTTCTGGTGTTCCGCAAGGAAGTGTATTAGGTCCATTACTATTTACACTCTACACATCTGATTTATCAAATTTTATTTCACATGATTGGAATATACATATATATTCTGATAATGTACAAATGTATAAAGCTTGCAAGCCAAATGAAGTTAATTCATTGATTTAGAATTAAATATAAATCTAGAAATGATTGCAAACTATTCCAAAAATTATTGTTTGAAACTAAATCCCTCAAAAACTAAAGCTTGCTGCATTGGTTCTAGGTTAAATATTTCAAAATTTAAAGAATTGATGAGTACAGACATTGTTTTAGGTGATACAGCTGTTGAAATTGTAGATCAGACCAAGAATTTAGGAATTTTATTGGGTACAAATTTAGGTTTTGAGAACCATCTCATTCGAGTATGCTGTTGTAAATATAAGTCACTTTGGAGATACAAACATGTTTTAACCATGGATATAAAATTAAGACTTACCAATGCACTAATCCTCACTCATATAGACTATGGCGTTACAGTATATTATAATTTTCTTACGGAAGACATGAAGCACAGAACTCAAGTCTTACAAAACTGCTGCATGAGATTCTGTTTCAAAGATATACGTAAACAAGAACATATTACAGGATATTATGTGAGAGAAAATGTTTTAAAATTCAAGTATCGTGTATTACTTCAGTATGGAACCCTACTGTATAAGGTTTTAAAATATAAAATACCCAGATATCTGTTTATTGCTTTGGCGAAGAGATGTTCATTCCGTTCCTTACGCAACAATGCCTATTTCAACATTCCTGTTCATACAACGTCTAAATTCACAAAATGTTTTACTTACACGGCACCATATCTACTGGACGATTATTTACAGCTTTTTGAAGCACCTTCCATCCAAAAGTTCAGAAATGAGATGGAAAAAGTGCTACTACAGCTACAAAGATTTGAATCCACAAATTATATTTATGGCGCTTGCTACACTATCTTCCATTAACACTCAGACTATATCGTATTATATTCTGTGTTGTGCATATTTACTGTGCATCATACTAATCATTGTGTTGGTGTTACATAAACGCTCATGAAATTAACTTTCTAGGGGGAGGTGAAAAATGGTCGTGCCAATCCTCTTCCGGAATGTTGTCGTTTTTATATTTTTTATGTATATACATTCCAATAAAAATTATTATCAATTATTAATTATCAATTATCAATTATTATTCTTATTATTATTATTTCTGGTATCTCACAGGGTTCCGCGCTGGCTGCACTCGCGCTAGGGAAAGAATTCACTTTATCTTATTGCGAACAACTTTCTTACAATATGGCAGGTCTGTAAGTATGGCTGCCTTCTGCATAATACTAATAACATGTTGATGTAAATCTAATTCCTGTATGTAAGTGGAGAGTATGTTCGACACCACTCCTTGGACAGATACTACCAATGGTATCTTCCATGTATAGCCTTAGTCTTCCAGAATTCTAGTCACATGTTTCTATAATTGCTAGGTTGGGACGTATCTTGGGTGTACAGAAACTTCAATGGCGTATAATTATTATCATAGCGCAGAATCCCCTTGACAATTTGGTTTTCGTGGTTGTGGAAATAGCTACGAAGAGATGCTACTTGTCTTTTGCACATTTGCTCGATGTTCAGAAGTCCCCTTCCTCCATGTTTGCGACTCAAATATAACCTTTCAACTGCGGACTTGGGGTGTAGCATACGGAAGTTTGTAAGTAGCCTTCGTGTTGTGCGGTCAAGGTCGGCTAGGTCGGAGTCACTTCATTTAAGAATTCCAAAGGAATATGATGATACTGGAACTGCCCAGGCGTTAATTGTTGTCATCAGGTTTTTTTTAATATAGCTTGGTGTTCAGCAATTTAGTAAGTCTCTGTATATGCTTCCTCCATACTTCTGCCTTCAGAGCTGTGTAGTCGAGTCCAGGATTTTGCTTAGTCCAAGATACTTCCAATAGTCATCCGCATCCAGAGTATCATTGTCATATATTTTTTCGCCTCCGAGTTTTACCATTCCCTTCTGTATTTGAAACACGGCACACTTGTCCAGTCCAAATTGCATGTGTATATCTTGACTGAAGATTTTTACTGTGCTTATTAAGGATTTTAGTTGTTTATCATTTTCTGCGAAAAGCTTTATGTCGTCCATATATATAAGGTGATTCACCCTTCAGACGTTCTGTCTTTCAAGCCTGAACCCGGCTTTACCCTTGTTGAGTAAGTGAGTTAATGGGTTAAGAGCAAGGCAGAACCATAGAGGGCTGAAGCTGTCGCATTGGAAAATACCCCTCTTTATGTTTACCATGCCTAATTTACTGTTCTCATAAGCGATGTTTTCCATGGAGACACTTAGGATCCCAAGAATCAGGGGGCTTACCTTATAGATTTCCAGCACTTTTGGAAGCCAATCATGTGGTACAGAATCAAATACTTTTGTAATCAATGTAGCAGTTGAGCAGGTTTCTTTGTTTGCTTTGTGCATGTTTGATCAGAATAGCGCCTAATGTTAATTGCTCTTTACATCTCCTGGAATTTTTAATACCACCTGGCTGTTCGAATGTGAAGACGTTGTCGGCTTCACAGTGAGAATAGATTTTATTGTTGATTATCGATGTTAACAACTTATATATCGTGGAAGGCATGTTACTGACCTATAATTGTTTGGAGCACATGCATCGCCTTTCTTATATATCATATCGTGACACCCTCTGCTAAGTTATCTGGGAAGGATGCTGGCTTCACTAAAGCTATAGGCTTTGGCGAGATGTTCGTGGAGGGCGTGAAATTTCTTTAGCCAGAAATTGTATATCTTATCTGGGCCTGGTGATTTCCAATTATGTGCTACACTGATGATCTCCTTCACGTCCTGTGCCGTTATAGTTAGCTCATCCATGTTGTTAATTCTATCTGTCCCACTTCCAATGTCAGGCATTCAGACAGCATTGTTGTTATAAGATGCATTTTCCCAGGAAACTTGGAATATTTCGTTATCGACAGTCTCGTGACTAGTGTTGGCTCCAGTTAACAAAAAAACTATAGAATGCTCTTTGGTTCTTTTCAAAGCTGCTGTTTGTTTTGCAGTTTACGCTTTGTTGCCTCATTGTATCGTTTCACGCCGCGGCCCCCCTTAGCCTTTGCTTTTTGTCGATACTGGTCATAATCATCACGCAGTTGCTGTTTTGCTTCTGGATCACTAATTGTCAGTTTGTGTTTCCTCGGCAGATTCGTTATCTTCCCAACCAGCTTGGTCGACTTGCTCCTTGATGACATCTGTAGAAGCTCGTAAAGTGCCTATATCCTTTTCGAACCTTGCCAAGGTTGTTTCTCATCTCTTAGGCTGTCAGTATGAGGATTGGGATCTACAGGAGGTATACTCTGGTTATTGCGTTGGATAACAGTGGCAGCTGTAGATTAAATGGTAGTGTGAATTATTACATCAATGTTGTCACAGCCCTTTAGCAGATTTTGTGAGCAGTTGTTGGCTTGTTCGATTAGTTTTGTTGTTCGCTTCGTCTTATTATTATTATTGTTATTATCGAAAAATAAGTTTTTACATTTTAGATTTTTAAATGGAAACCCCCCTGTTTTTTGAATTTCTAGATGTTCCATGAAGTTATAGTAACTTTTCTATAATAAAGTTTATACCTATCTCCAATCGTTGTGAAGCTATTTGAGTTCATAATAAAATTCGACAAATTTAATACTGATAATAATGTAGTGCACAACAAAAAATAATAATAGTGGATACCAGCAAGAACATCTGGCATCAATCAGATTCATCGTAGGTCATAGAAAAAATTTGCCTTTCATTTCAAATAGTTAAGTTACCTACCTAGTTGTGATAAATATTGAGCAATGACTTATTCAATTCAAGAAAGGGTAGAAATAACAAAACTGTATTACCAAAATGGGAGCATCGCCAGAGCTACTGCCCGGTTGTCTAATGGGTTACATCCAGACAAAAATATTAACGATAAGTATGTGGCTATGTTGACAAGAAAATTTGAAGAAACTGGATCTGTGTCTATAATATTCGTCATAATCGCCATCGAGAAAATCAACAGTTAGAAATGAAGCTGCAGAAGTAGCAATTTTGGGACACGTAGCACCTGACAACACCCAAGGCACTCGTGGACTGGCTACTTCTTCAGGATTTACACGCTCAACAGTACACAAAATTTTGAAGACAATAAATTTCAACCACACACGATAAAACAAGTCCATGAGCCTAATGAAGACGATTTTGATAAAAGGCTGGATTTTTGCGAATTAATGTCTCAACGTTTAATCAAAAATGCATATCTGTTATTTAATAATCGTAATACTCGTATTTGTTTCTCGAACGAGTGTACGTTCTATTTACATGGTGCTGCAAATAAACAATTGTCGATATTGGAGTGACCCGAATCCACATTTGTTTCGAGAGGTACACTCGCAATGTCCTGAAAAAATAAATGTGTGGGCTGGCATTTTCTGAAATCATTTTGTAGGACCTTCTTTTATTCTTGGAAAGTTCTTATTAAATTACAGAAATAATAGAAAATGACTTTAATTATTATGAAAATCACATTCAATTTCAACAAGATGGTGCGCCGCCGCACTATGTGGCTCCAGTACGACCGTCTTTGTACACCAATTTCCCGAATTAGTGGACCTTCAGACGAGGCACTATCGAGCGGCCGCCGAGATCTACGGACCTAAGTCCTCTAGATTACTTTCGTTGCGGGCATTTGAAAAGTAAAGTTATTAGTACGCAGACAGATTCCATTCAAGATCTTCGTCAACGGATTACGGTTGAATGTAGACAAATAGCTTATGACATGCTTAAAAATGTGAGGAATAGATTTGAACAAAATTTTATCATTTCTTGGAGGTAAATGGATACCACTTTCAGCATTTATCACCACATTGACCTACCTCTTTATAGCAAATTAATGTTTACTTCAACTTTAATGTGCGTGTGAACAGTACGTTGTTCTTTGTTGTTTGTTGTCTTTTAATTTTAAGGTTTTGTTACTACGGCAAATATATTGATTATTCTTTTTACGATATAATCCCTTATCACAATTTCTAGAATTTTATTATAAACTCAAATAGATTCACAACGATTCAAGATAGGTATAAACTTTATTATAAAAAGTTGCTAAAAACTTCATGGAAAATCTAAAAATTAAAAAAATGGGGGTTTCCATTTAAAAATCTAAAGTGTAACGCAATATCTAATTTTTGGATCACCATTTATTGTACGGCTATACGAGTAGATGAAAAGATGTCCCCCTAGAAATCAAAATAGACGTGTCCGAGCGTTCTCCCCAAAACATACCAGGGGAATCACAAATGAGGGTGCGACCTTTCTGTTGGACCTCCCTGTATAGAAAAAGCCGAAGCTAAAATTTGCAACACTCGACGTGCTTTACCGTCAGCCCCTGTCCACTACAATAGAGATTGAACTTACTATATTATTTTAATTATTAGTGCTTACGCAGCTTAATGCAAATAGATGCATACAACCGTCTGTATATGGAAATACATGAGAAATGTGCAAAAAGCGATGGAATCAAGTCAAATAGTACCGTGCTGGTAATGGTAAACTGAGTAAACTATCACTAGGGGTTGATGAAAAACTAAATACTACTAAGTACTTTCACTTACTTTTTATCGTTGATGGTGCCGGCGTTGCCTCAGTCATCTGAAATTAAACAAAATGTCAAAATATTCAATTATCGGTCAATATTATTTCTAAATCTCAGCATCAAGTATTGTAAATTTTTTCACATACATGGAACAGCCAAATGGAATTTTTCATCTCGATTGTTGGCCGTATTTATGAGAAACACCGAAACAGATACGGATTTATATATAACAAAAAGTAGGAAAATAATGGGCAAAATCCGCAAAAAGGAGGAAAGTGGATTCGAGCAGACAATAGGACAGGTAACCCGAGCGATACGTATTTCTTCTGGTTGGCTTAATCAGGCACAAAATGAATGCACATATGCAACTACAAAAGTAGATACACATGCCGACACATCCGGATACGGGTGTAACCTACTTTTGTAGTTGCATATGTGCATTCATTTCGGGCCTGATGAAGCCAACCAGCAGAAATACATATCGCTCGGGTCACCTATTCTATTTTCTGCTCGAATCCACTTTCCTCCTTTTTGCGGATTTTGCCTATTATTTTCCTACTTTTTGTTACATACCTTTCTCCTCGCGATTATTTTATATACATATATATATATATATATATATTAGTTAGGTGAATAAATAAAGCTTCCGCCTTTAGTTGAGTACTTCGACAAGATTAAAGCGATGAGGACTCTTCATACTTTATTAGTCTCTAGCTTTCGACGGGCTATGCCATCATCTTCAAGAGAATGGTATGTGAGATTGTTGCCAAAGGTTATTAAAGGTTAAGTTGCGGGAAACATTTAGTAACCCGGTGAGAGCTGGATCCATGGTACATTCGTTGTGATGTGTTCCTGACATACCGCTGTGTGCGTTTTTTACCAATTTTGACGAATGTACAATAATAAGCCATCCAAGTTGCACATACCTCCTTCATCTTCTGCCCTCCAAATATACGAAATTGCAACGTCGCCTTAGCGCCTAAGGTGGTTCAATAAGCATTTAGGTAGTGGCGAAATGATATGGACTATAGAAGAGTAGCGTCACTCCATCGTTAATACAGTTTTTGGCGAGGAGTCTGAAATTACATTGTGGTATCCAAAATCCTACATGTGGTGTCTGTGATATAGCAGGTAGTCAGGAGGAAGGTAAACATCCAGGTAATGAAGGTTACCTGAAGGTAGTTCACCGCAGAACACTAATAAAAAATAACTTATGTATTTGCTTGAAAAAGCCACCGTGATTGCCGGAATGTCATCAGTAGGCACTATTACCTTATGCGTCTAGAAAAACATGCTCTCCTAAAAAGTTTTTAGTTTTAAGTTACACCGTGCTGGAACTCTTTTTATTGAACACCTAAATTTTTGTGATTCATGGGTGGGTGGGTAGTACCAAAAAGAAGAAAATACGATACATATTTGTTATTTAATTTTACATTGTACGTCAATGAGTAATGGCAAACATTTCCAAAGTAGATTGTTCAAGTAAGAAAATAGATGTCATGTTCCATTTCTTTATTTAATTTTATACTCTTCAGTCTGCATTATTCATGTTCACTGAAAGATAAAAACGAACACTTAAAAAACAAAGTGATCGTTTTCATCTACACTGAAAAAGCTTTTAGGATGTAAGCCCACAGTTGGAAAAATCTGCTTTTTTTCTGGTTACTAAGTTTAGCGCCCTTACACTCATTTTCAAACTTGCGACCGAACAATAATCCATTCCAACCTCTGTTAGAATCAGTATAGTAGTTACTGATATTGCACAATGTCAAGGAAACCAGAACGACCGGTGGGTTATCGCCAATGGGTGGAACGCTAAAGCACTCTATTTTTCAAGCCTATTTTCCAGAAAATCATATATCGTTTAGACAGAAAAAAATAATATGGATTACCCTGTATAAACACCCTATGACATGCCAAACTACGCATTACTATGTTGAGATCAATAAAATTAAAAGTAGGGAACCCATTCAGATGAACCATCCGCCTGTAACCCTTCTTCCCTTTATTTGGATACTTTGGTAGCCTTCAGGCGGTAAATCATAGGTGTAGAAAAAGCCTAGTATACCGGCATGTGTGTTGGTGTATCTATTCAGTTGAAGGATGTATGTAAAGTTGGACATACACGCTAATAATATGCATAGCAGCCTGGTTTACTAACTATTATGGATATTCAGATTCATGATTCTGCCACAATATGATTGTATGAATATTTTGGTACCGAAAATTATCAACGTTTGAAGACCTTCATTCCAGCCAGGGTCTTTGATTTCTCACGTTTCGTCTTTCACCCATAAGGAATTGGTCTATAAAATGCTTAAGTTGATGATTCCTTTATTACCAACGGCAGATTTGAGAATGGAAGAATTTGCGACGATTTTTAATATAATGACATATCAACTTTCCTATTTTTAAATCGTCCGAACACAAGAGTTGAAAATATGAAATATACACACTCCTTAAAGTGTTTTGAAGGGTACTCCATGTAAAATTTCTCTAAGAATTCTGGTTCCTACGCTCAAAACTCTTATAGTAACTGTAACCTGTTTATCGCATGTCCTTTCGGTAAACATTACCGATGTTCAGCTCTTGCTTAGAGTGATCCATCAGAGGGCGGTAAACGTGATGAAAGAAATAAACCGGCAATAAATTCTACTCGAAAAAAGAGGGACGCTCTACAAGACAGGTCGCAGGACGAAGTGTTTCTGCTCCCCTGATTACTCATTGCCGACGGTCTGATTAATAACTGGTCAGATCCCAAACAGAGATTGAGAGATAGATGAATTTTTCTATAGTAGGTCAAATATTTGGTATTCAATAGACAAGCCAAAAAGGTAGGTTGCGCAAACAATAAATTATAATCCATTATTACTATTGTTATAATAAGGTAGTGAGTGGTTCAATAAAAATTCAAATGATTATGGAGTATATATAATATAGTATAAAATAATAAAATAAAACAGTCAGTTCCATGCAATTAAAACAAAAATAATATCCTTTAAAATACAAACAAGTAATAAATCAATCTAGAATTCTCAAACAAAAAAACAGTTTCTGTATAAATCTATAAACAAAAGTAACAAATAAACAAAAACATTCTTATAAAAATCTAATACGGGCCACGTAGCAGTCTGAAAAAATTACATATTGTTATTCAAAGTAGATTTCCAGTATACAGTGAAAATGTTTCTATACTATACACTGAAAAAAATCTGCGTCCCATTCCCCCAAGTTGGGAATGTCATTTCAAGGCGAAGCTTGACTAAGTAAGTTTTCCTAGAAGCTTTGTGAAAACAGTTTAGCTACAGTTTGCTTTCAGTGACAAAAAGCACAACACGAAAATGAACAGGGCGAATTTTTTCTTAGGATGCGATTAGAGGTAATAATAGCCAGCCTTCTAAATGTTAAATCCACTAAAGGTAAGAGTTAAATAGAAAAATACTTTTTTCAAGCTACTGTCAATTTCCTTGTGAGCCAAACACACAAAATACAGTTTTTGTCTTTGAGGTGCCGTGTCACCGACTGCATAGGCGTACCCGCTGGTTGTTCCACTTCCACATTCGTAAGAAAAAATTAAATGGATTACTCTTAATACCTATTGAAATTTAAAATATTATTTTGTTTCTCAAATGTCTGGTAATATTTTATGACTAAACATTATAATTCCTTTGATTAATGCATTAATTTGTTAATTGAATCAAGAAGGACTTATTGGTGCAATACCAATGATATTAGAAAGAAGCATGGAACTCTTTGAGCTAGGCGCACAGACTCCACGCCTCTGTTCCTATTCTGGTATGGGCACACGGGCGTATTCATGGGAGGTCTTTGGGGCTCATCGGAATCTTTCCTCCCGAAGCGCAACAGCTCATTACGCTTCTTCTACATATTACAGCATGTTATACTTTCTGTGAAGGGTAGCTACCTGGACTTAGCGAGTCCACCCCCCCTGCAATGCAGTTGTCTATCTCCAAGACACCCCTCCCCCCTGAGACGGAATTTTCGTGACCCTGCATCCTGAAGCTTCCCCCCAGATATTTTTCTGGATAACACCACTGGTTGAGCAGTATCTCAATCTACAAATAATTACTATCGCGAACTCAACTACAACCGTGGCTCCTATAAATTACTTTTATAGGACATTTGAAATTTCCGTCATCGGACTAAACTAGGAAGTCAAAGATGAATAAAATTAACAAACCATAACTGATCATAATTGTTTGTATTAGCATTGGGAGGATTTCTGAAAAAGCAAAAATTCTATATGCTTGGATTTCTGCTTAAAGTGGCTGAACCTACCAGCATGTAGTTTAGAATGCAGGTTTCTATAGACACAGAAAGTGGTTCAACTAAATACTGGTGAAATACTTTTCAGAGCTAATGAAATTAGTTGCCAGAAGAATAAATAGCCAGCGTAATTTCGTAAAGTAAACGGTTTTCCTATTTACATTTTAGATGTGAATGTTCAGTTTCCAAACGTAACTATGTTCGGTAGCCTAGCACTTAAGGCTTGTCTATTAAATACCAAACATCCAACCTACCATATCAGAATTAATCAAACAACCTGCTTCTCCCTGAATATTGAAATTTGAAAGAAATACTTTGCCCTTCAAAAGCCTGGAGATATATTACAAATAAATATGTAATTTGCTTTGTATTGGGAATTTAATTAATCCTGCACCTCATCAATAGCCATAACCCACCGCCACTAGAGACACCTCAAACCAAGCCACGCGCCTCTATAGAATGCGGTTCCTTTCATTTATCATTTATTGCTCGGACATTACCTTCCAGTATCAGTAATGCTTTTTAGACTTCGGCGCTAATACAACGTTGCAATTCAGTATTTTGGAAGGCCAGAAGATAAAAGAGGTATGTGCAACTTCGATCGCTTATTTATGTACAATTTGAAGTGTTGCACAATCTAGAAAGTTTTGGTATGGGGTCTTTAATATACGACAGTATGCGAAATTAGTTCTGGAATTAGAGGAAATATCTATATTGTTAGAATGATTTTCATTGTTATTGTTGGAACGGTTGGGATTGTTGTTATCATTATTATAGATTAACAGAATCTCCTACTGCTATACCACTTTCACATAATAATGATAACTACAATCCCAATCGTTCCAACAATAACAATGACAATCATTCTAACAATACTCTCTAATTCCAGAACTAATTTCGCAGCCCTGCCTTATATTAAAGACCTAACACCAAAACTTTCTAGATTGTGCAACTCTTTAAATTGTCGCATTGCTTACAAATCCTCCCTCACTATTAACAATGTTTTCAACAAAATGAAAGACAGTTCCTCTACTTAGCTTATCGAACATTGTCTACTCCATCAAAAGCAATAACTGCAATCTCACCTATATAGATCAAACCTCAAGATCCCTAAAGTTAATGAAAATGGGTGAATTTTGTACAAAAATGCGAGCCTTGGGCTTGAAGTACAATGATTTACTAAAAATAATAAAAATCAAAATATAGTTGAAAGTTTAAAATACATATGCTCTGAAAGATTTAAATGCAAAAAGTTCATGGACGAAATCAACTTAAAGTTTGACTGCTTTCAAGCTCTGTAACTTATGGTGCTTTTGTGATACCAACTTAAATACTGGGAATCGGAGATTTGTGAGGATGAAAAAGTTATTCTGCGTTTATTTTCATAACTTGAGCAAAGTCTTTCCGACATACTTGCGTTTCAGCATTGTCATGAAGTTGAATGGCTGCCTCAAAAACAGTTCGATAAGCGTGAAATATGGTGCAGATAAGAAAAAAGAGCAAAGTTACGGATATTTTACAATACGTCAAATGTCCATATGTAAAAACAAAGATCGAGCGATTATATATCTTTTTGTTTTTCGTTTTTGCCCGTAGCTCCGCAGCTACTGATTCGACTTTCAAAACATACAAAGATTTTTCGTTAATGGCACAGTAGTTATTAGTTATTAATGATGATGAAAGATAAACTATAATATATTTCACTGTCAAGTTACCTTGGCAAGCACCGGGTTGTAGTTATTATATTTCATGTCCAGGTCTATCCTAGGAGTGGCAGCCATTGCTGTTAAAGGGGTACCCACAATCATTTCCTGCAAAAAAACAATCACTGAACAATTTACACACAAACTACGTGATGAACACTTTAAATAGATAACGTGTCATATGTTAATATTATTAAGAATAGTAATAATAATGATAATGATAATAATAAAAATAATATTAATGATAACAATAATAAAAATAATAATAATAAAGAAATTAAACTAGATGAAAATATACAAACTCATCATGTTACTAAAATCATACCATGTGACTACCAACCATGAAACAATGTTTTTTAAACGAATTAAAGGAAGTATATTCTCGAGGGATTTATCATAGAGTTTATATATATCATACAAAAAATGACGTCAAGTAGACTGATTCTATACTTCCCACGCCTGTCAGAACCAGTGATGCACTATTTGGGCTTTTCAGGAATAAACAGATTTCCTCAGAAAGCAGCAATGGGCGTATCCGTACACGGAAGCCTCATTTTTTTTGAGCTCTGGTGTAAAACTAATTTTCAACAATGTTTGGCAAATGATTATAATAGCTCTTGATAAATGCTTATATTCTATACGTTTAATATTACGCCACAGAACCAAGTGTCATTAAACGTCATTTCAAGCATACCGCTCATATATATAGATAATATCCCTCCCACCTCGTATATCACCACGCTGAGTACCTGCTTGGATCCAATTCCAAACATACAATATTTATAAGTAACCCCGTGGCGCAGGGCATATGCGACCGATGCGATATATGCTGACAGGCGGAAATAAGTGACATGGTTTTTCCTGATGCGCGAGTATAACACAAGAAGATCCAGACACTATGCACTTCCAAGTATGCTAAAATAAATTATTTATCGCCTATTTTTAGGACATCAAAATACTAACTGACTAACATATAATACATTTTCCACACTTTTGTTTAAGATAACTTCCTTGCAAATTAGCGATACAAAATGTGAAGGCAAGCATTTATTACTTAGAGTGAAAAAAGTGCCCATTCACTCGAATCCATAATCAACTTCGCATTTGAAATGCCTTACAAATTACAGAAATAAAAAATGAAAATGATAAAGTCTCAAATTTTTAATTATAAAAGCAAGGCAATCATTACTTTCTTCTGACCATGAATTTATACGACAGCATATTTGCCAACATTCTATTCCTTACCTAGTTAAATGTGTAGGTGACTAAATGACTTTGAGGTAATTGGGAAAAAATTCAAATTTTGTTTGAAAGTGTTCAATAAACAACAGGACGTATCCATTCATATTTACAGATTTGTAATCTGTACATTATGTTTATACATTTTTATAGGTAAAGTGAAGTGAAGTACAAAAATTCAATTAAAAAAGTGTTCAACAACAACATAAGCTTTCATGATTAGCAATGTATACAGTTTACAACTAAGATTGCGAGATACTGTATCTGGGAACCTATCCATGGTAGAGGCTTGAGATCAAAATAGTTATTTCGAAAACGGTCAAGAGAAGAAATGGCCGCTAGGGGGCGTAACTGCAATCTAAAACAGTAATGTTTCTGTGAATTGCGCTATATTAACATAAAAAAATACCTGATCTTCAAAGTCGAGGATATTCTGAACCTTTTTTGTTTGACAATTTTTGCTGTATCTCAAAAAATCAAGAGGTGGGGGGTATTAAAAGCTTTCCGTAAAAAACACCCTGTATCTTCGAAACGACGGAAACGATTTTAACAAACTTGGACTAGTTGAAAAGAGCTATTCTTGGGCTACAAATATGATGAAGTATTTGAAGTTTTTTAGTTTCGCATGCGGCCGCTAGAGGGCGTTTTTCGACATTCCGACAGAAATGGTCAATTCTTTCAAAAAAATTAAATGCATTGGTATAATTTGTTTATGAGAATGTAGCTAAATGATGTCTAAACAAGCTTGCGACAACCGCATCTCGATATCTTGTTCCTAACCTAAAATTTAGGTCAAAGAAGATTTTATACGGAAATTCCTTAATTTTTTATTTTTTAAATTAGTTTTTCTGGAATTCTTTTTTATTCATCAGATAAAATAACCCTTTTGAAAATATTAGAAAATATCGCTAAAATGTAAGTAAGGAATGCTAATAAAAAAAGGCATATTTGTTGTTTAAATGCATATATTCACTGGTACCTGTATATACGAAAAAGACAATTAATAGAAGCAGACCATGGAATACAACCAAAACAAATACCTAATCAAAACATAAATAATCCTCAAATTGTCAATAGTTTCGCGTTACTTTGAGCAATTTTTGTGCTTACTAAATGCGTTTTACGAATGATGAAGCTGTTGATATGCTTACAGTTTATTTTGAATGTCTAGAATACCGCAAGAGCAAAAAGAGTTTACGCGACTCGATATCCAAATCTATCATTTAGCATCATTTATATAACGCAATACGGCCGAAATGCAATAACAGTCTTCGGGATCCCAAGTCGTCACAACGTGTTTCGTGTGAGAATCGCTACCATTCCATATATGACTTTTCGATTCTCATCGCTAGGTTCCCGACCAGATTTTTGTAAATTCTCATTCAAATCATACTTTAACTGGCGACATCCCGTTTTCATGACATACGAGTATTTAAAACTTTCTGGAACACCTCGTAAAAAATATAAATGTCACAGAATTGTCAAGTGTACTTAAAAAAGGCCACAGTGATTTTCGAAATATTGTATAATAAACAGAAATTTAAACATATGGTCCTACAAAGACATATTTTTCATGCTTACGGTTATTTAGTTAATGGAAGTTAGAAACTGAGTAAAAATATATTTCTCGTTCAAGGTAAGCATCGATCAATATCCTTTTAGTTAGACCGAAGACGGTAGTTTTGTAATAGCTACCTCTATCTTTCTATTTCGGATCAGTACGTATCCAGGGTGTTTCAAATTCGACCCTCACCATTGGAATTTTGGAAACTGTAGGAGGTACGAAGTCGCTTAAATGGAGGCAAAGTTGCTTATTTAGGTAGCCAACAAAATGCCGCTTAGAAAGTTTCGAAATTCAAAGTATTTCTGGAGAGAGACGGAAAAAACAGAAATTTCCCAAAAGCCAAAAAAGCCAAAATCATTTTAATGTTTACCTGACTTTATTTGTAGTGGGATTTCAAAATAATAGGCACTGATATCGCCACTTTTTCTCCTCTACAAAAAGGCATAATTAGAATTTGAAAATGACGTTTCTTCTCCTGTCCTCCAGCATCAGCTTTATGTTTTCTTATGGACGCCATATTGGATTTTAACACATACATTTTTGGCGTATGCTGGAGGACAGGAGTGGAGAAAAAGTGGTAATGATAATGTGTAATTTATTTTAAAATCCTACTACAAGTCCCAACAGTTTTTTATGATGAACCAGATTTAAATGTTATTCTTGACTTTAGTGTTATTTTTCCAATGTTCTCTATATACCGGGTGATTCTCCAAGGTGGACACCCCTATAACTTTTTTATTACTGAAGATAGAAAAACGAAATTTGGGAGTTGCCTATTAGAGATGAAGTTACATTTCGGAAACGACTCCAACTTTCTATTTTTAAATGGGACACCCTATATATTTTTAATTATTTCGATCCAGAACATTTTGAAATCTACAGTGCCTCACTTGTCAATATTTGACAAATAAAGTTATTTTTATTTCAGTTTTTCTTTTTCGATCTAGAATGTCATGGATCCTGTAAATCGCTTCATTTTTGATCAAGTAACAGGGGAAAAATACGATTTTGAGGCGAACGACCATACAGTCGTTTTAAGGATTTTCTAAAAGTTACAACACTATTTTTTCAGTTTACTTGATTTTTTCAAATAGAAAGTGGGTGGCTCGTCGGCTCTTTCTCATTTTCTTACAAATAATTCTTATTTTATTGTCATTATTTTTTGAATAATTGTAAGCAGCGATCATACCTAACAACAAATAATACGTATCTGCATTCAGTTACCTATGCACTAAGACCTTTTATTCTAATTATTTTTATTCAAGAGCGATTTGGTTTCAATTTCTGGATGGGTATTATCGGGGAAAAACTTTTCGAGGCCAATGATTTTCGATGGACAACTAACTGCGGAAAAATAACTAGTTTCTAAATAATGAAAAAAATGAGCCCCACCTCACAATTCTCATGCGGCAATAAACATCTGAATGACACCTTCCAAGAAAAGTGGATTGGCACTAATGGACATATTCAATGGCTTCCGAGGTACATCCTTAAGTTGTTTTTCAGAACGTCTAATTTATTTTTCATATTTTAGATCACCAGATCTTACTCCGCTAATTTTTTTCTTTGGGCGACAATTAAAATCAGGTGTATAAAACGACGTCAGCTACTCGCGAAGAACTGGAGCATAAAGTAAGGGCAGCATTCCAAAACAAAACTGTGGTACAGTTAATCAATGTGGTGCAAGCAACAACTGATAATGTTGAACTTTGTCGTGAACACTTAAGCTTCATGGCACATTTTTTAATTTTATTTTTTATTATAATAATGACAGGATATGTATTGATTTCATTTGTAGTCCAACATAAGCCAACACGTCTATTTCTTTTTCTTTAATGACGATAAAGTTGTTCGCATTTTCTTCTGATTCGTTGCACATTTTGTATTTCGAAAGCAACACCTTCAATTGTCTGTCAAGGATAACGAGAATAATAGGATTTAGCGCATAGGTATACCGAATGCAGATACGTATTATTTGTTGTTAGTTATGATCGTTTCTTACAATTATTCAGAAAAATGGTGAAAATAAAATAGAGTATGTACGACGAGCCACCCCATTTCTATTTGAAAAAATCAAGAAAAAATTTGTGTTTTTAACTTTTAGAAAATCTTTAAAATGACTGTAGAGTTGTTCGCCTCAAAATCGTATTTTTCTGGTGTTACCTGATCAAAAATTAACGCTAACGAGTGCGGCGTTGTTGAGTACCGAATGTCATTCTCGATCGAAATAAGTAAAAATATATAGGGTGTCCCATTTAAAAATTGAAAGTTAGAGTCGTTTCTGGTCAAACCGGAAGTGCTTTAAAGCAAGTGAATATATCAAAAAATATAAATTCATCTATAATATATAACACCCACATTTCGTTTTTCTACCTTCAATAATAAAAAAGTTATAGGGGTGAGCCACCTTAGAGAATCACCCGGTATATTCCAAAGGAAGTGGTTTTTCGAAGATCGTGAAAGTGAGTGCAAATTAGTATCAAAATGATAATATAAAAAACAAAAATATCATACGTTCATACAATATTATTTACGATTACGTATAAAACATAAATCCATCGGACTTCGGTATTCATATATTCCGATAAATACAAAATGTAACATGGAAATGAGATTGGATAACTTACTTTGAATATATTGTCAACGTCAGCAAGTGGCGTTGCAGAAGGTTGTGGCTCCCTGAAGGTACCTGATGTACTTTGAGTCTGTAAAAAAATATATCATCCAAGTAAGGAAAAGTTAGTAAAGAGTTTCTAGTATGACCAAGATAGATTATGATCATACTTTAGTGTCTCATGTCAATTATCAAAGCAAATATTTCAGCCCTATAGATCCTTTGATATAGGTACAACAGAAGAAAAACGCATGGCCACTAGAGAATAATATACTGAGTGACAAAAAAAGGTAAACAACTACGTATGTTTATTAGAATTCAATAATATTGATTCATCTTGCCATGAACAACAAGTGATAAAATGGTCAGGTTTTTCTGTTAAGTTTTTGTGGTGGCTGCGAGTATTGTTTGCTGATAAAGAAGCATTCAGTTTTCGTACATTACCGGTGTCAGTTAAATGTTAAATTTCGTGTAGCCTATTGAGAAGCCTTTTTGAGATTCCTCAAAAAACCTAAAGTGCGTAGAGTTCGCCGGGTGTCCCAGCTAAGTAACTTTGAGAGGGGTCGAATTTTCGGGTTGCTTGTAGCCGGTCTATCGATAAGAGAAGTTTCTAGGAGGACCAACAGACCATTATGCACTGCAGTGTGAACGAGCGTGGACTCAGGAAGGCCGAGGACAGCGAGCGAGGGGTTCTGGACGTCACAGAGGGACCACAGAGTGACAAGACCGCCGGTTAAGACTTCTGGCTCTGAGAGACAGATTCAGTAGTACTCGAGTCATCGCTAATCAGTGGTTTGTTAGAGCATGGTTTGGAGTGTAAGGTGTATTGACGCGCAAGATTTAGCCTCTCATACTGACTGACCAAAATCTGGAATCAATCCCGATAGCGGGAATCATCATGCTAGAGGATTTTGACAGCGTCTATTCCAAGGTGGGCGGCTGTCAAGGGGTAGACCGGGCTCCTTAAGCCGTGGCGAAGGCAGCCGGTCTAGGGGCGCTGACCTTAACAAGACTGCATGACCCCAAGGGGCCACTTTAGGACCATTTAACATCATCAACATGCAAAAAGAAGGTGGTAGGTAAGGACCAGTCGACCGAGGCCGCTAGCTTATTCCAGGGTGTCTTATAAATGTCCGCATGTTTCCACACCTAAGCTACGCAGTAGGTTATCTTCCCCAACAAAGAAATTAATAATGATGGATCTCTTAGGTACTAAGACTTCCGGACGTAAACCCAGTCCACTCTCGGAATGTCCGGGTGGAGAGCTTCCCAAATTACGAGGTTCACTTCAATCTGAGAAAGAACGGGGGAGTTGTGGCATTTGTCCGCAGCAGTCTTTCGTGCTCCAGATGGATGGAATAAGATCGGAAGGATATTCTGTAGCTTCGCCTCAACATCCACCAAATTCATTTGCTGCCTTTATCGCTCTCCCTCGGACCATAAATGGGATGACCTACTTGAATACCTCGCCTTCAAGATCGACTTCCTGAACATCAATCATTCCGCTTCAGAGGTAGTCCTCCTCGGTGATTTCAATGCCTATAATGAGCTTCGGTTGGGCTCAAACAAGACCGATGCAGCAGGTCGTGCAGTCGAAGCGTTCGCTCTTACTCAAGGGCTGACCCAGGTGGTGACGAGCCCTACTTTTTTCCCTCGCGTCTAGTCACATGCCAGTAGCCTTCTGGATTCTCTTTCTGACCACGCATCCTGTCCCTAACAGCACTGCTGTCCTGTCCCCACTTGGTAACTCAGACCACGATGTTGCGGAGGTTAAGTTTCGGTCAGAATTCGCTGTGGCGGCAAAAACTCGTCCAGGCCACAAAATTTGGCATTACGGACATGGCGACTGGGAGGGGCTCAGATACTTCTTTTCTTCTAGATGTTTGTTGCTGACGCGGATGCGAAAAGATTCACGTCGGAATGGAGGAATACATCGCTCATACAGTGAAAGTGCCTAAACCAGGGTCCAACTGCTGGTTCAACAAATCGTGTGACACTGCTCGCCAGCAGAAGATCAAGGCACACAGAACGTTCTTACAAAACCCCGCTGTAGAGAACAGACAAGCCGACGTGGAGTCCAGAAACAAATATAACGAAGCAGTTCGCAATGCCAAGTGCCAGCACAATATAAAAGTTAGGCACAGGGTAATGTCGCAGCGCAATGGCAGTCGATCTTTCTGGACGCTGGCCAAACAGATTCAAAAGAACACAGAGTAGCCCAAAGGCTTTCCTACACTATGCGGGAAGTAACAGATCATAAGACCTTGTCGGTCAACATCAACAAAGCTTCTGGTCCGGACTTGTACTGAAGAGTTATGCAGCGGAGCTCGCTCCACTTCTTTCGCGTCTCTTCCAGGTATCTTATAAATCCGGCACCTTCCCAGAAACCTATCGCAAAAAAGAGATCTAAGACCGTTCTTACAACTATAGGCCTATAGATCTGCTTTCTGTTATAAGTAAGGTAGATGGAGACGTGCATAAATCTCGAGCTTCTGGACTACCTCGAACGTCACGGCTTGATTAGCGATCCACAGGGGACCTGCTAGCTTACGTCACGCAATTGTGGATTAAAATCACCTAATCTTATGGTAAGGCTCATGTCGTTGCTCTTGATATCACGCAAGAGTTCAATCAGCTGTGGCACGCGGCCCTCTTATGCAAACTTTCATCCTATGGCCTCCCAGAAAAGCAGGTGGGTGGCTGACTTTCTCTCTGGTCGCAAGATATCCGTACTAATTTATGGTTCTTCTCTTCATCCCACAACGTCAACACGGGTGTTCCCCAGGGATTTTGTCTAATTAAGGACCAATTTCTTTTTACTTATCCTAAACCTAGTCGTAAATGAAACTCTGTACTGTATTAAGTCATTTGTAATTACGCGCCACAGCTGTCAGTTGTCATCAGCTGTCATGGTCCGTCATTTGTTAAGGTTGGCAGCGTTGAGTCGGTCATCTGTCACTTATGTCATTAGTTACTTATGTCAGTTATGATCGGTTCGATTTATGTTTTTGTGTATCAAAATAGAAAATCGAGAAAACTTATGAAAATCGAGTTCCATCCATTTATTTGCTCGACCATCCGCTACAATTCTTCAGAAGTGGGATTACCAGAGCTCAGGAAAACCCTAAGAAAGCTGTATTTATGAAAAAAATGAGTTACGAAGGGGTCGAACAGTGAGGCTTACTCCTAACTTACGTCACTCAGTTGTTGAGTAAACGCATCCGATCTTATGGCTCATGTCGTTGCTCTTGATATTATGAAAGCATTCGATCCGCTGTGGCATGCTGCCATCCTATGTCCTCCCAGAGAAGCTTTGCAGATGGGTGGCTGACTTTTTATCTGGCCGCAAGATATGCGCCGTAATTGACGGGTTATCCTCTTCATCCTACAGCGTCAGCGCGGGTGACCCCCAGGGATCGATCTTGGCTCCGACGTTGTTCCTTTTACATATCAATCACATCCTTCCCTGTACGATAAACCCAATCCACAGCTTTGCTGATGACAGCACTATACATGCAGGAATTCAAAGTGACAAGCCGATCGTTGCCGGTAAGCAGAAAGAATACTAGCAGCGACGAGAGACCTGGAGGTTGTCACTGCTTGGAGACGCAACAATCTTGTAATATTTGTTTAATTCTTCAAAAGCACAGTTATGTACCTTGATGACAAAAAGCGTCCTAGCGCTCATCCGGTTTCGATGGATGGCCTAGTTCTGCCTAAGAGCCGTTCATTTCTGCTGGTCGGAGTCCAGAACACCGAAGACTTGATCTGGCACAACACATCTCGTCAACAGAAACGGCTGCTGGGAAAAACCTGGGCTGTTTGTTTAGATCTTTTTTAGTACTTTTCTCCACATGACCTCCTTCACTCTATTCAAGGCCCAGATAAGACCCAGCCTCAGGTATTGGTCACACGTTTGGTATTCTGCCTTAGTAAAAGTCTGACCATATGTGTATTTAAATTTTTTGGAGTTTTTTTACACCGAAGCAACCACGCAGGTAGAAGCCTAAATTGCCAGGATACCGCGGCTGCTATGAGGATCCAAAGAAACTTTGATAATCCGATTTTTGAATTAGTAGAACTGGGAAAAGCCTGTTTTTGTAGATTGTTCCACAATCTCGACACCCTAGGTACAAAGAAGCAGTCGTATCGGCCACTTCTGGATGTACGAAGTTCAACACGGTTAGGATGGGAGGCCGAAGACAGACGAGTCTGTCTGGCTGGCACATCGCGCGGCGGCGTCATGGAAGAGCAAGGAGCAAAGCCCGTTGGTGTAGCGGTAGAAGAGAGCTAGATCGACGGGGTGAAAGGGTCCCGAGACTGTTTGTTTGAGAAGAGTCATCAATCAGTTGGACAGCCCTCCTCTGGACAGCATCGAGCATGGATAATGTAGTCAGGGCGGCAGCACCCCAAACGTGTAAGCAGTATTCGAGGCTAGGTCTTATCTGGGACTTGTATAGAGTGAGGAGGACATATGGAGAAAAGTACTTCTTAGCCCTAAACAAATAGCCTAGCTTTTTCTCAGCAGCTGCTGCTATTGACGAGATGTGTTCGTGCCAGATCAAGTCCTCGATGATCTGGACTCCAACAAGCCGAAATGAACAGCTCTTTGGAAGAACTCGGCCATCCTCCGAAACCGGATGAACGCTAGGACTCCTTTTGTTCGATCCTTGAATAAACTTATTAAGCACTCACAGCCGAGAAAAATGATTCTAAAATCTGGTTATTGTAGAATACCTTTTGACTTTTGATGTTTGACTTTTATGTTATTTAATATTTATGTAATTGTATAGGTACAGTTATAATAATAATATTTAGGAAATCGTTAAATAGTATATTTTCGTATTGTGACATTGTTCCACACCCCTCCGGGTCTTTGTTATGTTTATTCTAACATTTGAACAAATAAAGAATATCTGTTCATCAAGGTACAGGACGGATGGAAGCATTCAACTGTACAAGATTGTTGCGTCCCCAAGCAGCGATATCCTCCAGGTCTCTCGTCAGAGAGAAAGACACTGCTAATCTTCTTTTTTCCAGCTCACCGACAGAGATCGGATTACCGCTCTGATTTTCTGTTTGTAGAGTGCTGTCATCAGCAAAGCTGTTGATTGAATTGATCGTGCAGAAAAGGAGGTCGCTGATATGTAAGAGGTACAGTATTGGGGCCAAACCGATGCCTGGGCAACACCCGCGTTGGCGTTGTGGAATGAGCCCGTCAATTACGACAGATATCTTGCGGCCAGAGAGAAAGTCAGCCACCCATCTGCAAAGCTTCTCTGGGAGGCCACAGGATGGAAGTTTGCATAAGAGGGCAGCGAACCACAGCTGATCGAATGCTTTCGTGATATGAAGACCAACGACATGAGTCTCACCATAAGACTCGATAAGTTTACTCCACAAGTGCGTGACGTAAGCCACTAATCTCAACTAACCTGTTCATATGCTGATCCTCCCCCACTGATGTACCTGCTCTCCCCACCGCCTCTCTCACCATAGGAAATAGGCGGTCCCTTGGCAGTCTGAAGCATCCCATTGGCTCTGTGCGCTGCCGCAGCCGCCGCTCCTCCGCTGCCGTGTTTCACCGGTTGGCCAGGGTAACCGCCCCGCCCACCATAGGGCGGTTTACCGTCCGCCGGCTTCACGTATCCGCCCCTAGTAGGCTGATGCGAATGGTGGGGCGGTATCGAATGCAACTGGGACTGCTGCTGTTGGTGGGGCTTTTTGAACTCGCTACCAGAAGGAGGGCCACACGAGCCGGTTGGTATCCGGGAATCTGGCGACGGTTGTAACCTGAAATTAAATAAATACAGCTCAAAAATTCAATTACAACATTGAGTAAATTATCATTAAATAGGTTCTGACGTTATTGTACCTCGGTCATTTTCTAAAAAAACAATGCCAAATTCAAACAGCGAAAAAAACCGGATCCACAATGTACGAAGTTCTGTATGGATAAATGGTACAGCAGCAGCCATCGAAATATTCCTTTTGATTGTTTCACATGGTCACTACAGTCATCGTCGCGATTTAGTTGGTCCACTGATCAGCTGTTGTTATTAGGGGATCCAATCCCAGGATTACGGGATCCCGGGAGCCCATACAAAAACGACGGATTTTGAATCCAGAGAAATCCCGGGATGGTGCTGTTGCGTTTTGTAGAACTTCCGATTTCACTGTTTTTTCACTTGAAACTTATAAGAGGGTAGTCTGATACATTATTTTAAAACAAGAAAAGTGTGGATGAAGCACTTTTTTCATGAAATTTTTTTCCCAAAACACTGTATTTTTAACAGTTTTTCCACCATTAACTCCACCGCCATCTGCCGTATGACGTTGACGTCTGTGCATATGTCATAGTATACGAGAGGCGCTTGCCTGCACTGTTGCCAGATTGGGCTCCGTCCGCATTTAGGGGAAAATATGAAAAGTGGAAAATTTATATACGTATAATAAATAATGAAACACACAAGCGAAAAACTGAAACAAACAACAGTGGCAAAATAAAAAGCGATGCTTAATAATTATAAAACAAAACATAACAGTAGTAAACTAAAAAACAATTGTAAATAATTATAAAAACAGTAAAACAAGAAACAATTCCATGTAATTATAGAAAACAAAAAAGAACACAGGGAACTGTGGGTTCTGGACCTCTTCGATGTCTCCACGAAACGTGGGCACATTATTTATGTTCCAAATAGGAGTGCGACTACGCTTGAGAGCGAAATACTAAAATTTGTCAAGCCGGGAACAGAAATCTGGAAGGACGGTTGGGCCGGCTACAATCGCTTGGGGAACCTAGGAGGTGTTTCCCCCTACATCCATGAAACATTGAACCGCACACTAAATTTTGTGGATCCAGTGACAGGATTGTTCACTAATGAAATTGAAGGGCAGTGGTCAAGATTAAAGCAATTTTTGAGGCGGCTGGGTGTCATGAAATCGCCTCATGGACATGCTCCATCGGAATAAGCTTGTCGAGAAACTTAATCTGGAACCTCAATGGAAAAGGGATGTCATTCCAATCGTTTCTGCCTTTATTTAGGATGCCGAGATACATGAGATTTCAAAAATTCAGTCATATTAACCGAAACCACTCTAGCTGACTTAACCCGACATCCCATTATACTGACTTGGAAAACTGTTGATGATAATTAACTTCTGTATCCGCATGGGGATTTTCTTCAGCTCAGATATGATTATTGTCAAAGTTCATAATTGGATTTCGGTAAAAACACGCTTAATCGGTAAATAAAATACGGGATAGAAATTTTGGAACCACTACCTGTTGTTGCAAAAGCCAAGTACAATAAACAATTCGTTGCGGAAAATCAGCAGGTAATAACGCTTAAATACGCTGTATGTGGTAAGGATACAGTTGATATATACTTGTATCGGGGCTACGCTTCACTTCATGTAAAACTGCTTCCTCCATTTCCACTATTCTTACTGGGGCAGCTCTCCCAATTAAAGCAGCCGATGTTTGAAAGGTTCCTGATTCGCACAGCCTTTCATATATTCTCACGAATGTTTGTCTATTATTTGGTATAAACCGGTGTGAAGTTGGCAGACAAAATTTAGCGGACAATTTGCCGAAGATACCCGAATGACCAGTGGCGTCGACATCCTCTACCAGATGGTGATTGTGAAGGATACAGCTAACAGCTCGCAACAATAAATATATATGCACGAAAATAGCACCCATATAGGAAGAATCATTTTCCAGCCCAATTAAATAATTCGCAAGAACAAGACTTAACCCAAAACCTTTCTTCGAATTTTCACTTACGGAATATTGTATTATATGGTATTGAAAGTGATTAATGAGCTAAATAGCAGATACTGAGAAAATCTCTAAAAGGGTGGTAGATAAAAAAATATAAATAAAACTTCATTTTCACCGCCAAAAAAAACGATTCCTCAAAATGGTTTATATCTCAAAAAAATACTCTATTACAGAGACAATTCATGGGCTAGGTGGCATGGTGTGAGAAAGCTGCTTCTGAAGGTGGCAGATAAATATAATTATAAATTCATTTTCACCAACAAGGAAATGACTCCCCAAAATGAGTTGCACATCAAAACAATACTCTATTATAGAGACAATTTATAGGCTAGGTGGCATGGTGTGAGAAAGCTTCTGAAGGGGTGGCAGCTAAAAAAATATATTTATAAATCCATTTGCACCCCCAAGGAAATGATACCCCAAAATCAGTTGTAGCTCAAAAAATACTCTATTATAGAGACAATTTATAGGCTAGGGGGCATGGTGTTTCCTTTATTTACAACTTGATTTCGTATTCAAAATTAAAAAAAATTGTATGTATTTTCTACAGAAATTACTGTAACAAATTCATATGTCTGCATATGTCCATGCTTTTAATGTTAAACCATTATAACACTTCAGTACGTCACACTGGGAATTTACTTTCCATTTTACACCTCCCAGACTGAAATCCTGGGAGCCCCACTGATATCCATCCAGCAATTGAAACCAAATCGCTCTTGAAAATTTCCTTCTTGCATTAAACGTGACTTTGTTTGCGTCCAATACCTTTTATTATCCGGATTGAATATACCTGAATTGGTAAACCGCCTTTCGTCTGAATAAATAATTTTAAACGGAAAACATCTTATCTGTATTTAGTCAAAAACCAGTTGCAATAAGTTAATCTTCGGTGGTGGTCGTCAACGTAAAGATGCTGGTGTAATTGGAAATTGATGTTCGATAATTATATTTGTTATGAATTCTCCAAACGAATGAATAACTTATCGTTCAATCAATTTACTTCAACATAGGCCAACACGTCTATTTAATTTTCTTCGCTGACGATAAAGTTATTGGCATTTTCTTCTGGTTAATTTCGCATTTTCTGTTCCAGTTTTGGAAAATAACGCTGAGTGAGATGACGACGATTGGGGAATCTCTGAGAATAAATTCTAGCTGCCTCATATGTATTTTTTCTTGTTTCATACATAACAATTAAATTTTTAAAACCGACAGTATTTTTAATAACCTAGATTAGGTATTTTTGAAGTGACTCTAGCAACACATTCAATTCTTTGTCGCGGATAACTAGAATAATAGGACATAGTGCATATGATCGTTTCTTACAATTATCCAGAAAAATAGTAAAGATGAAATAAGAGTGTGTAGTGTCAAATTACTCGTAAGAAAATATCTATTTGAAAAAATCAAGTAAGCTGTAAAAAATAAGTGTATGTAACTTTTAGAAAACCTTTAAACCGACTGTGAGATCGTTCGTCTCAAAGTCGTATTTTTCCCATGTCACTTGACCAAAAATGAAGCGGTTTAGAGGATCAATGGCATTCTAGATAAGAAAATGAAAGAAAAACTACTTTATTGGTCAAATATTGATAAGTGAGTTGTTGCTTTTGTTGAGTTAAGAATGTCAATCTCGATCGAAATAAGTAATAATATCTAGGATGTCCCGTCTAAAAATCGAAAGTTGGAATCGTTTCCGGTCAGACCGGAAGTACAAAATTCATCTATAATACGCAACCCCACATTTCGTTTTTCTACAAACTTGAAGATCGTCAAAAAAGGTAAGAACTAAGTTTCTTAGCAACTATAGTGCGGTTTTAAGCCGTACCTAGACGATGTTGGCACTGGATGCAAAACATGATGCCGACTGGAAACCTGCGATGATGTCTGATGGGGCTGCAGGTGGTGTGATGAGGGTTGTGGGGGAGGGGGAATCGGACCACCGGGACTCGGCGGGACCCCATCGACGCCGATAAGGCCGTTGTCGCTGGTGGACGAAAGGAACGGCCGCACGCGCTGAAAGTCACCCAATTTGCTCTGGATCTGTTGGGTAACGGGATCCGCGGCAGATGGGTTCACCTGAAACAAAAAAGAATAGGTGAAATGAAAAGTTAACACCAAGCACCTCCAAAAATAGACTCAACGTTTTGTAGGATCCGACCGATGGCCAATTTTTCGGCCAAAGCCGATGCGGTATTTAATACAGCCTGGTTAACCAAAAATGTAGGTTGTGTATGTATTACGACTCCAACTGCATTACTAACTATAAATTCACTAATGACATTGCACTTATTAGACAAGGAATATCCTATCTAATTTGACCAGAACACACCTCAAGGGAATTCCTAACGCAGTGCGTTCCTGCACAAATATTAGTAGCTCTGCGGAAGAACTCACCGTTTTCGGCCGAATCCCAACAATCGTGTCACAAAAGTCATTGTCATGTAAATAAATTATATTACCTCCTAGTCACATCATAATAATTTACTGAGTGTGCTTCATCAAGATGAAAGAAAAGAAAAGAGTAAAGATGAAGAAGATATCCAAGTAAAGAAATACGATATTGATGAGAAGGACTGTTTAAAATGAGAAAATCATGTGAAAGTACTCAAGCAAAAGATACATGTGTGCTACTCGAATGAAATACTAGAAATAAATAACTCTCTCATATTAGACAAAGAAAGGTACATTAATCAGTTCGTAAATGA